TAGAGGAAATTGTACTGAGTTTAGAAAAACTTTTTAATAAAATCCTTAACATGGGAATACTACTAAGATCGTGGCTATTAATGTCTATCAATGTATTTTTATCTTTCCCTTTTTTTTTCTTTTTATTATATATAGTCGTAAACCTATCCTCTGTTTCTTCCTGTACTTTCCTTTGACTATTCGCCATTTCTTCACTTTCATTGTTATTTTCATCATTCTCTTCCATGTTAGTGTTTATCTCTATGCTTTCCTGATTAGTCTCTTTCTTTTGACTCGTTGAGGGTCTTCCTTCTTCATCTCTGTTTTCTTCGGCTATAGATACTAATACCGTCTCCGTCTTTTTTGCTTCTGCTCCCTCCTTCGATCTTACCTCAGTACTTGTACTTACCTCAACTACCATTTGATCGCTATGTGAGTTGGGTTCTGAGGAACCTCCTTCTGAACTAACCACCACAGCTTCCTTGTATGGTTTTGAGTACTGACTATAACTTGACTTTCTTCTTCCTTTTGTTTTCTTCTATGTTCCTCCCTGTGTATTTTTTGTAAAACTTTAATTCGACTGACAATTTATACTCAGGGCAGTCTCGCTTGATGTGCTCTATCCCATTGCAATAGAAGCATAACTTTGGAGCTTCTCTCCACTCCGTTAGTACCTTTTGGTCATATATATATGTATGTCTCAGCATTCTTTTAGCAAGGTCCGGATCATTAATTGTTTCGAAAATAATTATCTATTGATTTGTATTTATAGGGGTTCTCTCATAGACCAAGGGTTTAATTGAAGTAATTATTCCCATGTCCTCAAAGGCTTCTCTAATTTGTTCAGAAATAACTTCTTTATACCCTATTGGGATGTTCCTAAGCTTAACCAGTAAGTAACTTCTCCTTAAATTCACCGGTATGTACTCTAAAATAACTTGTTTAAAAATTGTTAACTCTTCTACTGTGTAATATTTTTGCATCTTCTCATTTTTGAATACAACTTCAAGGTGAATGCGAACTCCTCTGTTGAAGTAAGGTTTGGTTACTATAAAATCATCACTTATTTTTGCGTACATCATTGACATGATTTTATTCATAGAAAACTTGCCCAAATTCTGGATATCAAAAATTAGGGCATTATCATTTTTCGTATGTATTCAGCTTCTAGGGGCGAAGATGGAGTAAGTTGCCTTCTCTCTTTTTAATTTCATGAAAAGGCTAGTCCATTGCTTTTCCTTTTTGCTAT